AACTTTTTCATGTCTTTTACATAAACATGTGTAAAGATATTCTGAAAGTTTCAGGAAAAAAATATTTGCTCACTTTTTGGCCTGATCCATTTATATAAAAACCTGTCTGAAAACGAGCTGATCAGATTTTGGCCATGCACGTTATGATGTCATAACGATGTTTCGGCTTGTGTAACCATTAGCCAATAACCAACCAAGGTAACACCCGCCCACCTTATCACCTGAATCTCCTCCTAGTGCACCATTGTGTTATATTTAACCAAATATCTCTCAGAGGGGAGTGGCTCCTTATTTTCATCTGAACTAAAGGACAGAGAATCAGCACTTTTGAAACAGGGCTGAAACAGAGGGGTTTATGGGATGCTATAATGCACGATCTGTTTGGTATTTCAAGCCAAACACTTCAGAGACATGCTTTGTATATATCTGAGACCTATTATATATTGATGAAAAACAGTATAATAGGGGACCTTTAATACATGTTTTGTTTGGGAGGATAGGGTTTTATTTGGCTTTTCCCATTCAAATGTGTTCATGTTATTTTCTGGGAAGGCCCATTTTGTTAGATTTGGGAAATCTCACATTGTTTGTGCAGCACAGTTGTAAAACGAGAAGAAAAGCATGGATCGCTGTCCAACACGTTCTCACTCTGACCTGTCACACCCAGCAGTATAGGCTGATGCTCATACGCGTGTGTCTTTAAAAGCACAATTCAGTCCCTTTCCTATTGGATGCTTGTGATTGATGTGTGCACCAATGGCATACAGAGTCGTACAAAGAGATCTACCCCCTCCCCCTTGCAGCCTCAGCACTGTAAACGTTATCAATGCAAAGAGCTCGAGGACGGTGGATGATACACTCCTATCGCGAGGCTGAAAAGGAAATTGTTAATTTAAGCTTCAGACATGAATAAAGGTGATTCATGTATTTTTATGGAAATAGCTAATGCTCGTTGGAACTGGATATTAACTTCGGTGTTCTCGATGGGAAACCTATTCTAACGGACCGGGGATGACAAAGAGAATAGGATACCGAGACTGGAGATGGCAGGCGCTTTGGTGGCATCATTTCTTTCTCTTGTGGACTACAATAAACGGACAGACTCGTTACAGCATCCCGGAGGAACTAAAACAGGGCTCTGTGGTAGGAAATCTAGCCAAAGATCTGGGTCTGGGATTATCAGACATGTTTGAACGTAAACTACGTGTCGCTTCCGAGGCTGGCGAGCAGTATTTCAGTGTGGATACGGGGAAGGGCGAGCTTATAGTGAATGACAGAATAGACAGAGAGGCTTTATGTGGACAAATTACGAGCTGTGTTTTACCTCTGCAAATTGTTCTAGAAAACCCTCTCAGTTTACATCGAATCGAGGTAGAAATTAAAGACATTAATGACAATTCGCCTAATTTTCATACAAAAGAGATGTCATTAAAAATTTCTGAAACTGCAGCAGTAGGAACACGTTTTCTCTTGGACAGTGCAGAAGATTCTGACGTTGGCAGCAACTCAGTTAAATCCTACGTGTTGACTAGAAATGACTGCTTTATTTTGAAAATGAAGGAAGTTGAAGACGGCAAAACAGTCCCGGAGTTAGTGTTAGAGAAGCCCCTTGATAGAGAGAAGAAATCAGTTCATCAGCTACTACTGACTGCATTAGACGGGGGAAATCCAGTCAAATCTGGTACCTTACAGATTACAATCACAGTGCTGGACGTAAACGACAATTTTCCTGTTTTTGATAAAAGTGTATATAAAGTTACCTTAGGGGAGAATACTGCTAAAAATACGTTTGTTGCAAAGATAGCGGCAACTGATGCTGACGAGGGAATTAACGCAGAGGTTGTATTCTCGTTTGGCTCGCGGACACAAGAATCTGTCTCATCAGCATTTGAAATTAATTCATTAACAGGAGAAATACAATTGAAAGGAGACTTAGATTTCGAAAGAGCCTCGTCCTACGTCATTGAAATAATTGCAAAAGACAAAGGGGTTCCCGAAAATGAGGGTCATTGTCGTCTACAGATAGATGTTTTAGATGTTAATGATAACACTCCAGAAATTGTTCTTACCTCTGAACCGCAGCCGGTGCGCGAAGACTCACCAAGTGGCACAGTGGTGGCTTTGATCAACGCACGTGACGCTGACTCCGTTAATAATAGCAAAGTCACATTACGAGTATCAAGAGGTTCTCCTTTTAGTTTGAAACCATCCTTTTCTAATAATTACGCACTGGTTACAAGTGGTGCTTTAGACAGAGAGAGTTTCTCAGAGTATAATATTGAGATAACAGCCACTGATTCAGGCTCCCCTCCTCTGTCCAGTAAGAAAATTATACCTGTCAGCATCAGTGATGTGAATGATAACGCCCCTTTATTCACTCAGCCATCCTATAATGTGTATTTAAAAGAGAATGGGGTGCCAGGCTCTATACTATACTCAGTATCAGCATCTCTGACTGAGATTTTGGTGAAACGCCAAAGTTCTTTCTTCATTCCATACTGGACTCTAAAAGTCAGGGAGTTTCTGTCTCGTACTTATGTTTAACATTAACTCCAGGAATAACGGCAGCCATCTTTACAGCATGCACTCAGTTTTGACTATGAGAAAACTGAAAGGTGTTTTCAGATCCAGAGTGCAGGCAAAGGAATCGAGGGCTCTCCGTCTCTCAGCCAGCAACACCACTTGTCCATGTTTA